GTTGGCGAGCATGATTGGGGTTGGGTTGGAGAAGACATAAGTAGTGCCATCTGCAAATAATATTGGTCTGAGTAATTGTTATGCATTCGGTAGGTCATTGATGTAGATGAGAAAGAGGAGGGGTCCAAGGACACTTCCTGTGGGACTCCTTCTGTGACTCGTTGAGTGGAAGAGTTTGCACAATTTGTGTACAGATATTGGCTTCTGTTCTTTTCTTTTCTAATATTTTATTTTTTCTAGCAATTTTAGTGGCCTGTGATACCAATATAATGCATATTGTATATATCCACTCATTGTATGCAACACAATAACCACAAAAAAATTATCATTATATTGTTTACACAAACCAAAAATTAAATAAGTTGTTTATTACTATTGTTCTGTAATATATATACAGATATAGAGTTACTGGACACATTCCTAGAAATGCTACAGTTTGTGGGACTCTTCGAAACGTGCTGTTTTACACTCCTCACACATAAAGCGGGTGTTCTGCATTTTTGTGGGTGGATTGTTGTGGTTGTGCAGGTTGTTGTTGTGTGTGGGTGGTTGAAGGTGGCCTTTATTGTGGATGTGCTGAGTCGTCGTCATTGTCGTCGCTGCCGCAGCCTCCACCACTACCAGCAGCATGTATATTATCCATCCTAACTGTAACATCACCCATTACCCATACCATCTTCCCCACCAACCATGCTGTTTCCCCACCACCCACACCATCTATCCCACCACCCACACCATCTTCCCCATCATCCACACCATCTACCCTATCACCCACACCATCTACCCCACTACCTACATCATCTTCCCCACCACCCACACCATCTACCCCACCACCCACACCATCTACCCCACCACCCACACCATCTATCCCACCACCCACATCATCTTTCCCACCAACCACACCATCTACCCCACCACCCACACTATCTACCCCACAACCCACACCATCTACCCCACCACCCACACCATTTACCCACCACCCACACCATCTACCCCACCACTAACAGTCTTCACCACCACCCACACCATCTACCCACCACTAACAGTCTTCGCCACCACCCACACCATCTACCCACCACTAACACTGTCTTCACCACCACCCATGCTGTCTTCTCTTTCACTATCTGTTCCTGGTGTAAGGCCACGGGATGTACTCCAAGATGTACTCCTTCCTGTTGGAATAGCATATGACACACTACAGAATGCATGTAGTCTCGTATAAATTGATGCTTCACAGGAGAATATTCCTCTTCATTGTCGCTACTGGAATTGTAATCAAGAGCTTGGAAATGACAATCAGTATCACTATTGTTAAGCCTTATACCTAATACTAGTAGGTTAGTATACTGGCATAACAATTCTGACAGAGTTGGGGACAGAAATTAAAGATCCACTAAAACCTTACTTTTAATGAAAGAAATTCAAGACAGCAAGGGTTACACCAATACATAAAGATGGTGATCCTACAGATGTAAACAACTATAGGCCAATATCAAACTTACCATTGCTATCAAAAATCTTCGAGAAACTCGTGCACAGGAGACTATATTAATTTATAACGTCACAAAACATACTCAACCCCTGCCAATTTGGATTCAGGAAAAATAAAAGCACTAATGATGCAATTATAAAAATGCTAGACCTGCTTTACACAGCATTGGAAAATAAGGAATATTTGCTAGGAATTTTTATTGACCCAAGAAAAGCGTTTGACACAGTTGACCACAGCATCCTACTCCACAAACTTGACCACTATGGTATAAGAGGCCGTGCGCTTGCATATTTCAAATCCTACCTTTCTAACAGGTATCAGTATGTCACCATTAAAGACACAGCCTCATCAATACGGCCACTTGATACTGGAGTTCCGTAGGGAAGTGTCCTTGGGCCCCTGCTCTTCCTCATTTACATCAATGATCTTCCAAACATATCCCAACACCTGAAACCCATTCTCTTTGCAGACGACACGACTTATGTCATCTCCCACTCTAATCTTGCCACCCTCAACACCATTGTTAACGAGGAGCTGCTCAAAATATCGACTTGGATGACAGCCAATAAACTTACACTTAACACTGACAAAACCTACTATATTATGTTTGGTAGCAGAGCAGGTGTTGCGCAACTTAACATTAAGATCGACAACGCTCTAATTGCCAGACATAATGAGGGCAAATTCCTTGGCCTATACCTCGACAACAACCTAAATTTCAGCACCCATATCCAACACATAACACAAAAGTATCCAAAACGGTTGGGATCCTCTCCAAGATATGATACTACGTGCCGCAAACTGCCCTTCTCACACTATACCATTCACTTATATATCCATACCTCACCTATGCTATCTGTGCTTGGGGTTCAACTGCAGCAATGCACCTAAAGCCAATAATAACCCAACAAAAAGCCACAGTAAGAATAATCACTAAATCCCATCCCTGGCAATGCCCCCCCCCCACTCTTCATAGATCTAAACTTACTCCCTGTTCAGAACATCCACGCCTACTACTGTGCAATCTATAACTACAGGACCTTAAATTCCAATATTAACCTTGACCTAAAATGCTTTCTTGATAGTTGTGACAGGATCCACAGGCATAACACCAGACACAAACATCTCTATGACATTCCCTGTGTCCGACAACGTTTACAAAAATTCAATGTATTTCAAAGGACCTAAAATCTGGAACACCCTACCTGAAAACTCTAGAACTGCAGACACACTCATCACTTTCAAAACTAGAGTTAGAAAACATCTTATCTCCCTGATACACCCCAACAACTAACTACATGATAACCACCTGGTGGTTCACAATTACACTCACTCACCCACTGGCTATAAACACAGAAATACTAATCTTAATCTTAAAATAATGAATCCTAACTGGTTATAAGTTTGCCTATGATACTCCAATATAGACACTTTGTATTGTGCCAAAACAAAAGTATTCACAGTGCTAAACTCACAAATTATAATGTAGTCACCTAGACCTATTACCATAATCTGTAAAGATTTAATGTTAAGAATTAATCTAAGTCTGCCCGAAGTGCTTAGCCATGCTAGGTGTCCTAGTGGCCCCCTCAGTAATTAGTATTTTATAACATGTAAACCACACAATATCCAAATCCTGTAAACCCCACATTGTAACCCTTATAGAGAATAAACTTGATTTGATTTGATTGTTCTAACCCACATCACCAGAGATACCCAATAACTTCCTAGTATTTTGCAATGTATTACTTCCAGTGTACACAATTATATCCAATACAAGACCACTGTAGCAATCACAAAGTATAAACAACTTTATACCAAAGCATTTCCTCTTGCTTGGTATATACTTTTTGAAAGACAGTCTGCCTATGAACAAAATCAGACTCATCAATAACAAGCTTCCTGAAGGGATAAAAGTACGTACAGAACTTTTGTTTCAGATACACGAGCACATTCCTGTCAGGCCTTGTTTTGTTTGAGAAGTGTAGCATATGCAACAGTAGCAGAAATTGTTTCACTGGTATTATATCACTGAATGCTGGGGTTGAAACTAGGCGGTGACATTGTGCTTATACACATGAGACATAAGCATTACTGTGGCAAGGAACAGAAACATCTCAGCCACAGTTGTCTCCTTCCACTGGTGTAGGCGTGATCTTGGTGAAATAATTGCTTTTGCCATGGTGGAATCGAAGTATGTGTTACTTTCCCTGACAATAATTTCCATCAGGGGTTCATCAAAGATTAACTTGAAACACTGTAGTTCAGTCTTATTCTTCCCAAGTGTACAAGATGGCCATATTCCACTTTGAGTTTCATCAAAGTGATGGGGATTGGGAACAAAACTGGCACCCTGCTGGCAATCCCAGATGTGGTCTCCTGGTGGGTACTGGATATTGACAGGTGGTTGCTGCTATGCAGATTGTTGTGGTTATGGTTGTGCAGGTTGTTGTGGTATGTGGGTGGTCAAAGATGGCCTTTTTTGTGGATATGCCGAGTTAGTGGCGTGACTACCAGCCTGGGGTGCCGCTGGTGCCACATGACGCAGAGCACCAACACCACCACCTACTGCTGCACGTATAGTATCCATCCCAATTGTAACAATATCACCATTTTCACTATCTGTTCCTGGTGTAGGGCCATGGGATGTACTCTGAGATGTATTCCTTCCCCATGTAACATCATATAAACTGACACTTCACTGGAGAATATTCCTCTTTACTGTCGCTACTGGAACTGTGATCAAGAGCTTGGAAATCACGATCACTATCATCGCCACTGCTCACATCTGAGTTCTAGACGCTTGAAAATATGAGTTTCCTCTTTTGCCCTGGTATAACTGAACATGAACAAGATGGGCCAGCACCAGAGGTGGAAGGTTGAGGGTCATCTGGGTTTTCAGCATTATTTCCAGTATCCTGGACATTACTTTCAATCACAAACTTCTCAAAACCATAAAATTCATCTTCACTGACACTTCCATCTGTGTTAGATCTATCACTTGGGAAGAGAAGAGTCTCAATTAGCCGGGGAGTGAGGAATTTCTTACTTCGAGGCATGGTGAACAAGGCCTACAAATGGTATTCCCGTAATGCAGCACTGGCTCCCCAATTTTTTTTTTATGCTGTGCACACTGAGCAAGCAGACCCATTCACTCACATGTGGGTCTACCAGCTTCCGCTAAATTTGAAGCCACTAGAATTTTGGCGTAGTATTATGGGACCGACACTGACAATGAAAAGGTTAATTAAGGATCCCTTTTTGGGGATTCATAAATATTAACTGGGATATCTATTAACATTTTTACTAACAAAACTGAGATGACTCTACGATTCTGATAAAATTATATAATTTTGCAGACTTGGAATTTGGAAAAAAAAAGTACAAGGCATAGATGCCAAAAGTTAAGAGAAAATGCAAAACCCAATGGGAAAATTTTTGGCTGAAACATCAAGTGATTTTTACACCTTGAATAAAATTAATACAGTGCAAACAGAGCTGAGCAAACCTTAACTGGTTGCCGTGCATACTGAGAATCTCCCGGATGAGACGTGAAAATGGCAGTCTGGGCACTAACAGTTCTCCTCCTTTCTGGAAACGACGAATTTCCTGTAAGGCAACTGTTCCAGGTCGGAATCTGTGCTTTCTCTTCACCTCACCAGAACTCTTGGAGCTCTGCCTCTGAAAAATAAATGAGCACTAAAAATTATTTCTAGGACAAACCTCTTCCACACGAATATTGTAAACATGTACGCTCCACAAGGCACAGTACTCACTCCCACTCTATTCCTCATCCTCATATCTGACATAGACAGAGATGTAAGCCATAACTCCATGCCTTCCTTTGTGGATGACACCCAAATTGCCAATACAGTGACCTCCATCAAAGACACTGCACGACTCTAAGCAGACATCAACCAAATCTTCAAATGGGCCACTAAAAACAATATGAAGCTCAACAAAGAGAAATTTCAACTACAGCAGGGCCCCACTTTACAGTGTTTCACTTTAAGGCATTCCACTAATACGGACATTTCATATTATGACCAAAACTCACTATACGGCTGTCCCACCTGTCTTTCTAATATGGTCACTGTGCCCCACCAAGTTTGTTTACATTCTCTGTGAGCACACCCCTCCATTATGTCTGGAAACTTTCCAAAATTTCAAGTGTTTTAACGTTATTGTATATTTTATATGTACTCAGATAATTATACTTGTGTGTACCTGTATCTAAATATACTTACTGTGCTGGCATGCAGGTGCACATTAAAATCACTAAGAATCTCTCCACTCTTGAACACGCCATAATAATATTAATGATAATAATCTCTTGGGCACATTAAATATCGTATATTATGTTAATATAGACATTTCCATTAATCCATCTGTGATATTATTTTCAAAATTATATAAGAAACACATTACATAACACATAAACATGATACATACAGCCACACTATAAAAACTGGCATAAATATGAGATGTGTTTACCAAGCGGCTTGTAGGAGTGTCGGAAGAATTTCGTTTTCTCTAGTCCAACACCAGTTACAGAGGGATAATTGTAGAAAATATTCCTTTTGTATGCCTTCCCTCTATCTATAGCTATTCATGACCCTTGTGGGAAAAATAGGGTTATGTTCCTGGGAGCCCCCAAAAAACCAAACAACTTCTTTTTAGACCAACAGATCTTACAAAAATAAAAGTGAATATGTAACTGTAGTGCATTGTCATGATATATTACTGCTTAAGAATACAAGTGCAATAGAAATAATAGCATTTCTTACCTTAAATTGTGGGTAATGGTGTTTGTGGATGATTGTGAAGAGAGTGGATATGGAAGGTGTGGCCCTACTGGGCTGAGGTGGATGGTTGTTGGTTGTCACCAGAAGTGGATGGTAGAGGTTCTGGTACTGCAGTTGATGGTTGTACTGGAGTGTGCATAAATTCTGTAATGGATCTCTGGGCTCTTTTACCTTGCAGTACATTGTACAGCTGACAGTAAGGCATCATCAGCTGGTTTAGACCCCATTTCAAAGCACTGCTTCTAGATTTGTCAAGGTCCTCTTCATGAAAAAGTCTGCTAGTTTAGCAGCAACATGGAACTGCTCAAGTAACTGCTGCAATGCTAACTGGCTTTCTTCAGGTTCTTCTTCATCTTCTGTTATGTGGCTTCCTTGTATCTGCTCATCGAGCTCTGCCAACATTTTCTCTGGACTCCTGTCTTCATCATCATGTTCTAAGAGCTCATTCACATCTTCATTCATATCTTCAAAACCATCACCTGGTAATCTTGCCAGCTGAACGATTTCTTGAACCTGAATCTCAAGCAAGGAATAACCAGTGAAAGAATTAACTACAGAAGGCCATAACTTTCCCCAGCCTGAATTTAATGTTGATTGGGGCACCTCATTCCATGCACTTCTAGCATAGCTTATGGCATCTGAAATGTTAAATATATTTCAGAAGCTTGGAACTCTCAGGTTGGAGTCCAGTGATGCAACTAGTTTTTTTCATAACGTTTTTGTGTAGTTACACTTGCATAATTTAACTCCCCGATCCAGTGGTTGTATTAGAGATGTTGCATTTAGAGGTAAAAATACAACTTTTATACATGGGGTCACATCCAGCAAAGCTTGTGGATGAGTACAGGAATTATCAAGAATGAAGTGAACCTTGAATGTAAGGTTCTTGCTGTGCAGGTAAAACTTGACTTCAGGAATAAAGTGATGCTTAAACTAGTCAATAAATATTTCCTCTGTCATCCATGCTGACTGGTTTGACCTCCAAATTACTGGTAAGGTGCTTTTATCTAAACTTTTCAAAGCACAAGGATTCTTATAGCGATAAATAACCATGGGCTTACACTTTAAATCACCTGACACATTACCACAAAGGAGCAAAGTGAAGCGATCCTTTGCTGTCTTGAAGCCCGGTGCACTCTTCTCTTGCTGACTGATGTAAGTTCTTGTTGGCATTTTTTACCAAAAAAACACTTGTCTCGTCAGCATTAAACACCTGATGTCGCTCATAATCTCCCTCAGAAATAATTTCCTGCAATTCATCAGGGAAATTACTTGCTGCTGTATGATCAGCTGAAGCACTTTCACCAGAAAACTTAATATTATGTATCTTATTATGCAACTTAAAATTGTGAAACAACCCTGTGGTAAACACACACTTTTTCAGGCCTTCCATATCACACACTGCATTAAACAATTGCAAGACCTTTTCCCTAATTAAGATGAAGTTAAATGGTGCACCTTTCTTTGTATTTTGTTCGATCCACTCGAGCAACAAGTTTTCAGTTTTATTTACTTGCTGTGATCTGTGTGTCATTCTTTTCATGAGGTGACATCTTGTGTTATTCATTACATAAGCGCATATATTTTCCTCGTTGTGTTTAATTATATGAACTGATGCTTCATTAAGGCCATAGGCCCTCACTATATCCACTACACGCGAGCCACTCTTAAGCTTGTCTAATATCACAATTTTCCTCGTAACTCCTAGACTTAAATGCTTAAACCTTTTCTTGCCACTTTGAGCAACACTTGTATGCCTACTGGGTGCCATGACTGCTTGGCTGATTTATGATAGAGCAATTAAAGCAGTATAGGTATCTAAACAAACACAGCAAGCTCCATCCTAACACAGATTCGTCCAACACACGTATGAACCGAGCTGGGAGGGAGGTGGGGGTTGGCGGGGGATGGCAGAGAGTAGGGAAGAATGGCGGTAGGTCTTCCCCATTGACTCAATGGTGTAATCCACATCCCCTTCCACAGCGACAGCGAGCTCAAATTTTTTTCCCCTCCCGCAACTGTGTTAAATTAATTTTACAAATCGTTAAACAAAAATACAGTATGCAGCAATTCTTCAATCATATTATAATCAAAATGTACCAGACAAAACCACATTAAACAACAGTCTACTGTAACTACAGCATCTGCTAGTAAAATGATATGATGGATAATGAGACCCTTCAGAGCCAAGGATGCCTAGCCTATGATGATCTCTTCAAACTGCTTGTTCTCTCTAGGCTGGAATACTGCTGTACACTGCCTCCTTCAAGGCAGGTGAAATTGTTGACTTGGAGAGTGTACAAAGAACTTTCATGGCACACATAAGTACGATAAGGTGTTGATCCCCAAAACCCTCTCCAGGTATACTCCAGATAAGTCACTTCCTACAACACTAGATACTAAATTCCAGTTTTAGTTTAATATTTTTTATGTACCGAATACCCATCCTATGTGTGTAAGGATTACAGAGGCACATACTGGGTCCAGGGACTGGGCACCAAAGTTTTGATAGCTAAACAAGGTACAAAGGTAATGAACTCACAAGTAACAAAGGTAAAGAATCATCTACATATCTATACATGATTACAATCATGAACAAATTATAAAGTAATGAGCAATTCACACTTCCACACCCAGTCACAACTGTAACGAGTCATTAGTGCAAATATTAATTGGGTCACACACACACACACATACACGAGCACACACAATCGAGCACACACACACACACACACATACACGAGTGCACACACACATACACACACACAGATGATAATAAACTATGCACGATTAGGGTCACAAGTGACATGGTCCTTAGGCAAATAGATACATTAAAACCTAACAAATCCCCAGGCCCTGATGAACTGTACTCAAGGGTTCTAAAGGAATGTAAAGAGAAGCTTAGCAAACCTTTGGCAAATCTTTTCAGCATATCACTACAAACTGGCATGGTGTCAGATAATGGAAACTGGCAAATGTGATACCTATTTTCAAAGCAGGTGACAGGTCCTTAGCTTCGAACTATAGACCAATAAGCCAAACCTCCATAGTGGGAAAATTTATGGAATCAATAATTGCCGAGGCAGTTCGTAGCCACCTCGAAAAGCATAAATTAATCAATGAATCTCAGCATGGTTTTCCAAAGGGGAGTTCCTGCCCTACAAATTTATTAACTTTTCACTAAGGTATTTGAGGAGGTAGATCACGGTAATGAATATGATATTGTGTATATGGACTTCAGTAAGGCTTTTGACAGGTTCCCACATCAAGGACTATGGAGGAAAATTAAGGCACATGGAATAGGAGAAATTTTTTCCTGGATAGAGGCAAGATTGGCAAATAGGCAGCAGAGAGGTTTGCATAAATGGGGAGAAATCAGAGTGTGGAAGCGTCACGAGCCCCGGTGTTCCAGAGGGGTCATGTTGGGCCCATTGGCCCTGTTTGTTCCCAATCTACATAAAACGACTCGATGAAGGCATTAAGAGCCCAAATATAAGCCAGTTTGGCCGATACAACCAAAATAGGCCCGTCGAATTCAATCTGACGAGGACATTAGAGCACATCCAGGAAGATTTTGCATAGACTGATGCAGTGGTCGGTAGAAAAAAAGTTAGGGGGGGGGGGGCAAAAAAAACGAATGCAGTTTAATATAGACAATGCAAAGTTCTAAATGTTGACCAGGACAATAACTACCAAGCCACATATAAGCTAAACTGTAGATCTTAAATTATGATTGCCGAAAAGATTAGGAGTTCTGTTAGCCAGAAAACTTGAAACCAAGACAACATTGCATAAGTGTTCGCAATAAAGCTAGCAGAATCCTTGGCTTGATATCAAGAAGCAAAATAATAGGAGTCCTCAGGTATTCTTCAACTTAATAATATCCTGGTTAGGCCTCATTATAGATTATGCACGCACAGTTATTGGTCAGCGTATAACAAATGGATAATAAATGCTCTGAAAACGTACCAAAGAGACACTAAGTTGATCCCATGTATCTACACCTACCTATGAGGATAGACTGAGGTACCCTGGAATCTGCACTCTCTGAAAGGCGTAGAATTAGGGGGATATGATTGAGGAGAATAAATGGAAGACAGGAATAAATAAAAAGTGGGTCACTAGCGTGCGAAAATTCTCGCCTAGACAGGACTCGCACAATGGTTTCAAGTTGGAAAAATTCAGATTCAGGAAGGATATAGGAAAGCACTGGTTTGGTAATAGTGTTGTGGATGAGTGGAGCAAACTCTCAAGTACAGTTATAGAGGCTAAAACACTGTAGTTTTAAAAATAGGCTAGATAAATACATGAGTGGGAGTGGGTGGGTGCGAGTTGGACCTGATTAGCTTGTGCTACTAGGTCAGTTGCCGTGTTCCTTCCTTAAGTGAATGTGACCTGACCTGACTAGGTTGGGTGCACTGGCTTAAGCCAGTAGAAGACTTGGACCTGCCTCGCATGGGCCAGTAGGCCTGCTGCAGTGTTCCTTCTTTCTTATGTTGTTAATTGCGCACACACAGGAGCACATTCACTCATAAGACCTCACACATAGAACCACACACAAGAGCACACAAATGCACGAGCACCCATGAGAAGTTATGTATCAACCCCTGCAACACATATAGGGTAGTACACATACACACGAGCATACATACACACATCTGGTCCAGCAAATGGCTTCTCGAATTTAATCCTGCCAAATGCAAAGTCATGAAGATAGGGGAAGGGCACAGAAGACCACAGACAGAGTATAGGCTAGGTGGCCAAAGACTGCAAACCTCACTCAAGGAGAAAGATCTTGGGGTGAGTATAACACCGAGCATGTCTCGGAAGCACACATCAATCAGATAACTGCTGCAGCATATGGGCACCTGGCAAACCTGAGAACAGCATTCCGACACCTTAGTAAGGAATCATTCAAGACACTGTACACCGTGTATGTCAGGCCCATACTGGAGTATGCAGCACCTGTTTGGAACCCGCACTTGATAAAGCACGTCAAGAAACTAAGAAAGTACAAAGGTTTGCAACAAGGTTAGTTCCAGAGCTAAGGGGAATGCCTATAAGAAAGTTTAAAGGGGAAATCGGCCTGACGACACTGGGGACGGGAGGGTCAGGGAGACATGATAACGCATATAAAATACTGTGTGGAATAGACAAGGTGGACAAGGACAGGATGTTCCAGGAGGGGACACAGAAACAAGAGGCCACAATTGGAAGTTGAAGACACAAATGAGTCAGAGAGATAGTAGGAAGTATTTCTTCAGTCATAGAGTTGTAAGGCAGTGGAATAGCCTAGAAAATGACGTAGTGGAGGCAGGAACCATACACAGTTTTAAGACGAGGTTTGATAAAGCTCATGGAGCGGGGAGAGAGAGGGCCTAGTAGCAACCGGTGAAGAGGCG